AGAGGCAACGTACTACTCGGGGTTCATTGTGATAAGCGTGGGTGGAGCGAAGACTGGCAGAGATCAGAAAGCGTCGCGATCGGAGGCAGGCGGGGCGATTAAATGGGCGTTGGCGTGGTGGTGGGAGGCGATGGATTCTGGAGGTGTCGTGATGAGGTGTTGAAAGCAACAAAGCCGGTCAAGTGAGGTAGGAGTCGGACGGAGTAAGGCAGGCTGCTACGTCAAGGTTTCTAGTGCAGTGCAGCCAGGTCTGGTGGTGCTCAGGGTGGCATAAGGTACCTCTTAGGGACCGTAGTACGAAACCATGGACGGGCAGTGTTTGGTAAGTGGCCAGTGTCCTGTGCCCACCTCACAGTCCCAAGGTGCCTAGAGAGGAGTCCTGTGGCCAGTGTTCAGCGTTTACCTAGTCCACACGGGCATGCACACTGCAGGAGCAAAAGGGCCCACTCAGTCCTCCGTCAGATGTCACCGACGAATGAAACTCTTCGGAGCGGCGCATGAGCACGGGGTATCGCACGTGACTTTGCCGTTGGTCTGGACCGTCCTGAACTTCACCGAACACCCTGCCCACGCCTCCACCCTTCTGGCACCCGCGCTGCAGGAGCCAGGTACGAACACACTCAGTACGTAAGCAACTGTTGGTACTGACCGAGCCCAAAGGTGGTCCTTAATATCAAATCCCACGTCTCCTTTCCGTACCAGCCTGGGCAATGTTTGAAACACTTTCCGCCAGATGCTACACTCCCTGAGAGAACCATGAAAGCCTCCTTTGAACGTGGTGATTTATTTTCAGCTCTCGTTTGTTTCCAAACATCCTCCGTGTTTCTGTCATTTCTTTTCATCTTTGTGCACATTGAAATCTACGTTTCTAGCTTCTTCTGATGCTTTGTGTCAGATTTGGTACCAGACACGGCACGCCTGCATAATGCCGCCATTATATAGAGTATGCATGGTTTCGCTGACAGGACCCCACCCTCCGCGCTTCGTGTGGAGTTGCTCAGATCGCCAACTTCATCTCTAATCGTATGTAGTGTATTTATCACCTTTCCCCGTGTTGATTGTTCGTCTGTGCATATCCGAGTCCTTCGGACGACTGGCACCTCAACTGCTCGTCATTTGACACAGAGTCTGGCTGCTATCATGGCTTATGAAGGCCTCAAACAATACATCGGACAGTGACGGGCTCGGGGTGTGCAGACTGACTCCCGGAAGCAGGCATGCGTCCCTGTGCTTGGTGACGCAAGGGTGCCAGCCCGCTGGAGACATGACCGTGTAGCTGGATGAGTCCCTGATTCATCGTGACTCCTTAGCGATAACGGGCAAGCCATCGGCTTTCGTCTTTTTTGTGACAGCCTTCAACCCTGCCATCGTCACCGCGAACTCAACGGCGCCGTCCAATCCCTGTCCTGTCGCCTTGGCATGCGGAGCGAAGACCACCTTCATCCACCGACGCCAGTTCTTGAGCGCTGGCACCCCTCCGTCCTCAGCTTCATCGTCCACATGTCGATGAACTCCGTAGACCGGTTTCTTGAATAGCGCAACGCGGCAGGCGATCTGCGTCGACCAGACCAGTCCCAGACTTGGCGTCTTGAGGCCGTAATCGGCCAGAGGGTCGTCACCCCATCCTGTAAACCACCGTTGCTGATGATCCAATGCCAGCGCGGGCAGGGCTGGGGGTCCGACATCATCGAATCCGGGAGGTTCTGGCATGCTAGACCGCAACTGCTCTGCCATGGACGACGGTGGCTCGACAGCGGATAATGAAAAGTCTGGCGGCGGACCTCTACTCCTTGACGCCAGTGGGCTCTCTTGAGTGAACCTTACGTTGGTACTGGGCGGCGGCATTCTGGAGACCGCAAGTGGGCTGGAGAATCGATCCGCAACCTGGTTGGATACCACGACAGCCAGGTTGTACTTTTGAGCCAGCTCTCTAAGCAAGGCACCCAGCCGTGTCAACTCGTGACTTCGAGCTCCCATGTTTGATCCCTGGTTGCCCATAGCACCGCGCTCAAACTCAGCTCGGTAGTTGGAAGCAACGGAATCGAGAACGATGAGGCCGATGTTGCGTCGCTCAACTTCGACTGGGACTTGGAACTGGAGGATGTGCTCTTGTGATTCGAGATCAGGGGTCGATGTGCTTGAGATGCCGTCGAAAGAAGGTCTCTCATCATCGGGAAGATCCTTGAGTCGCGGGTTTGCTGACATCATTTGTGACAGTCGTCTGGTGGACAACTGAGCCTCTGTAGTGATGTACAAGGCGGGCCGACCAAGACCATAAGGAGGGGGTAGCTGAACAGCGAGTAGCAGAGACAGCAAGAATTGCGTTTTCCCAGCACCGCTCTCTCCCGTGATCTCGGTCACGTATCCGGTCGGCACCCCTCCTCCCAACGCTCTATCTAGGTCATCGTCGAGAGTGCTGATAGTAGACCATTGATTTTGCAGGTCTGTGAGCGATCGCTTGAGAGGCGGGCTCTCGTCCGATTCAAGGTGTGGGGGACCAAAGTTGCGATGAAGAGCGTCGACGACAGCTGCACATAGCCTCTTGACGTCAAGAAGCGGCAACTGCGTACGCTTGCCGATGTCAACAACATCCAAGGTCAGGAGCTCGGTGGTTGATATCTGGTGTCGTTCGAGAGTCTGCACGAGTCCAGCAAATTGCCTGACAGGAAAGTCAGGCAGGAGCTGCGAGAGGTCCGTCATGACATGGAGCAGATGTCTAGTGGTATGAGGCGGCGAGTTTGGTGCATGGCCCACAAAATCGGATCGTGTGTTGATTCACTCAGAGTCACAAAAGGACTCAGTGGTGATTGTCCAGGCACTGGGGGACGGATTCAGATGAGTGATCTGCAGCCTGGGACGCGTTGTTGACAATCAAGTCATCAGACTCGACAAATTTGTGTTATGAAAAACGGGCGGGAAGGAACACGTCGATGCTCAGCGCTGCATGTCGTCCAGGTACTCTGAACAGTCTCCAACCTGCCAGGGCAAGTTGTTGCATGCGACACGACCCAAATCACGGTGTTCACGGATTTCTGCAGCTTGTTACTGCAGTTGGAAGTTGCAGCTGCGGTTGCAGGGTTCCTTACCGACGACGATTGGGCAAGAGTTGGAGCTTGGACTTCATAGAGGGGGCGATTACGTAATCACAGACAGATGCCCATTCGCCAAGCAAACGTCTGCCAAGCGACTCTACGTTTTGTTTATGAGACCGCCAATTTTTCCCTGTGCTATACCGACTACCTTTCCTGTGGCTATACTCAACCTTACCGTCGTTACTTCTATTGTCGTCGCTTCTATCGTCGTCCTCGTTTCTATCGCTATCCTCATTTCTATCACTATCGTCGTCGTTGTCGTCGCTGTTATCGTCTCCGATAGGAGTAGTTCAGTACAAAGGAAATATAGCCGCGCAGACACAGGAAATTTAGGCCGTCTCTTGTTTATCGTCTGCATGGCCATCGACAGAAGTCTTGTTTTGGAGCAGCCTTTTGTGGACATTCCTTACTACCAACCACAAAATGGCACAAACAAGATCCTTGAAGCGCCATGGATCTTTGGCATATCAGCCTCGCCCAGGCCCGAACCGCTATCCGTTCCCACGTCGTTTGCAAAACAAGCCCCCGAATAACACGCGGAAAGACAGTAACGACGGCTTGGGAGTCCTCCATCCCAGACTCAACATGCACGTGTGAAATCTATTCTCTGGCAATTCCGCCACTCCGTCAGGCCACATTCCGGTTCCCGAGAGAAAACGCAGCGCAGGCAGCAAGTCTACTAGTGTACGGCTCTCGTGCGAACCATCAGACCACCCTTATTTCGACCTGACCCGAAGAAGAAAGCACAGGCCCGAGGCTGAAGTCTGCCTTGTACCGATGCTTGTCTAATTTCAGGTTGGATTGGTCGGTAAGCCAGGAAAGATAGTGTCTTCTCTGCTGAGGACCACTAGGCCAGGCTGGCTCAAGGGCGACAGTTCACACGCCGGACACGCACCGATCAGCCACTAATCTCGGGAAATCCGACTTCCAACGGCATGGTTTGTCGCTTGTAGTGCCCTTGCTATCCTGAAGGATTCGATCGTCATGTTCGGTGCTCGCGAATTCATACCGAACGAGACAAACTCCACACTTCCAACCGTCAGCATCGTCATAACCTGTCCACGACGGCCTCAATTCCTCCAAAGGTGCCGGAACCGTTGCCGTTAAGCGACGACCAAGAAACTCAAACCACGGGAATCTGGGAATAGCAGGACGTTTAGCAGAAATTCCCATATTGGGGCTGTGATGTGACGGCTTGGCAATTCAAGGGCGCCTGCGAATCATGTTCGATCAAAGTCTCAGAATGTCGTTTGCAAATGTCTCAGCTGGGACTGTTAGCTCTCAGCAGACCTCCGCATCAACCCCATCCACAGCTATCAGCGCTTGATACGCTGCTGAACTCTCCCTCTTTATCGTTTGTCTTTGTTTCCGCGTTGACCCCGCCTTCTCGGGCACGCTCTTTAAACATTCGCCAAGCGGCTGTCTTTCCCTTCTCTCTTGGTTCGCACTAACACGGCTTGCTCTATTCAGCTCCTGCAAGCCACAAGGAACCGACCACAACGCAATTGGTCTGGCTGAACCCTGGATGCCTAACTAGTCGCTCCCCTAAAGCCAAGCTTCCGGACTATGATACGAAATTGGCTAGCCTAGGGCTGAGCACCTTGCGATTCGCTGTCGAAGCCAACCAAGCATCACCGGTCCCCGTCGGTGCTCACATCAGTTGCTTCTATCAGCACAACTCGCACTCGGCCGCTGGCGTCCCGAGCATGTTGAGTAGGACAACAATCGAGCGTAGAGGACTGGGAACACAAGGGATGCCTAGTTTATAATGGCGTCCAGCTCTCAATGCCCAAGGGCCTCATTCTTCTCCCACCTCGCCCTGCTTGGTCTCCCTTGAGTTACTCCGACGTAACTCACAATTGATCATTGCTCGCCCGTCTGATCAACTTCAAACACAAATCAGTCATCATGGTGACTTCGATACGATCCATCGCAAGCCTGGCGGTTCTCTCTGGACTCGCCAATGCGAAACTATACGCCGTGCCCGAGGCAACTACAACGTTCAACCTGCCGCTCGACCAATTCAGCCCGCAACCTACGAAGGCGCCCGCCTACGCGGATCTGAGGAGAAGACAAACATCAGCCGCGACCACCGTGCTTGTTGCTCCGGATAACACTTGCGGATACATCTCCGGTCGTGCCGGCGCTGCTTACACTTGCGGTACTGCGGCCAGCTGTATCTTCTTCACATCGACCTCGCGAGTCAAGGGCTTCGTGGCATGCTGTGACGCAGACGACTGTGGTGCGCGCCGCACCTGTTACGACGCTCGGCAGATTTCTTCATCGAGCGTTTGCGACAATGGCTGCATGGTGGACAAGTATACCCTCAAGTGGTACGTCTGAAAGTAATGCTGCCGTCTTCTCTCAAGCTAACACGAACGTCCAGCACCAACACAGCAAGGCCATACTGCAACACCATCTCCTTCTCGGGCAGCATCTTTGACTACTGGTGCAACACCCTCGAAATCTCAACGGCACAAGCTGCTGTGACGACCTTTGAGGGCCAGACAGGGCGTACTTGGGTACCGCTCGCTCTAACGGACGACGCTACTTCGAGCCTTCGGGCCCCGAGTGCGTCCGGCAGGTTCACTGCGACCGGAACCGGCTCCCCCGCAGACCCAGTTGCTTCCGACCCCACCAGCAACAACAATAATAACAACAACGACAACGATAGCAACGACAACAAGTCTTCCACTCCCGTTGGTGCCATCGTCGGAGGCGTTGTTGGAGGCCTGGCTGTCATTGCTCTTGTCGGCCTCGCAATCTTCCTCATCCTCCGCAAGAAGAAGAAGCCGGCCCAGAACCAAAACCAGCAGCCGCCTCAAATCCAGCCCCAGCCCCAGATGGCTCAGAACAACTACCAAGGAGGACCCCCGCCTCAGGCATCCCCTCCTAACCAGTACGCTTCGACTACTCAATCTCAAGTGTGGGATCATAAGTACGGCGGCCCCCCGGGGGCAGGATACCCCCAGAGCTACGGCAGCACGTCTCCTCCTCCCCAAGGTGGTTACCAGCAGCCTGGGCAGCCTGGCTACTTCGTGGCGGGCAACATGGTGCCCGACCGCGCAGACACCACGAGCCCCATGTCCGTGTCTCAAGCAACGGATAACCGGTACAGCACCCAAACCGTCGCCGGATACCAGCCGCAACAGCCTCCTCCTCCGCAGCAGCAATTTGCGCAGCCGCAGCCTACGATCCACGAGGCGCCGGCCACCAACGATGGCCACCGGGGCCAGATGCATGAGCTCGCTTGAGCAGGCACGTCCTCCGCTTGTGCATGCTAGCTGAGGGGCAGGGATGTTGATGTGATGATACCTGTTGCTTTTTTCTCGTATATTTTGTGGCAACTTTCTAGCCTGTGCCGGCAATAGATGGAAACCAATTTTTTGTAGACCAGTGTATGACGGCAACTCCTGATAGAGAATCTCAAAATTGCCGGCCAACGGGATGGATTGTGCTCCCTGGACCCTTGCGAATGTACCATATGAGAGCGATACGTCAGTTGTGTGAAGACGAGGTCCAATCCCATGGTTCGCTTAGAGTAAGTATCACATGGGGACCACCTGGAAGAAAACGCCAGCGACTGAGACACTCCGCGACCACTGCGAAACTTCTTCTAGACTGCTGAATTAGTGTGAGAAATGTCTTGGTACGGCGCTGGGGTCCCAGATCTGAAGTCTGATGCGCGTGCCAACGAGCCTTGCAAGTAACGGTTTGATAAGCTACCTACTTGATTTGCACACCATGTGCATGTTATGCAAAAGTGAGTTGCGGATTTACAGGTGCAGGCCATAAGATCATCACATCGACGAACCATGCAAAGGTTTATCCAAATGGAGGGTATATTTCCAGAAAGAAAAGGGCTTGCTACTCTATGTGCTCAGCTTGCGCAAACTCGGGGGTGTCACAACATCCCCGTACTACCCAATACTCATTGTCCACGTTCCAGTCATACACAAAACGTGTCGTCGTACAACGTTACCACGTCCGTTTCAGGCAGCCAAATAGGAAAACAGACAAGTCGCCGGATCAGTAGTCGATCAGCCTCAGCTTCTTGCCAATCTCCCTACGACGCGCCTGCACCGCCGCACGCTCCGAGGGCTTCGTCTCCCCATTGTCGAGATTCTCGCCACGAGCCTTGAGCGCTTGGAGTAGCATACCGGCATCGAAGAAGCCATCTGCAGCGGCAAGTTAGCAAATACTCTACTGTTTTGTTTGGGTCCATTGGTTACTTACATCCGCCAATCTCGTCGTCTTCGCTAAGGGCAATGCTTTCTTCGGTGGGCGACTGTGTTCCCGTCGAAGATCTGGCAATCGAAGGTTTGATGGCGTCGTGAGCCGTGATCAGGCGGCCCCGGGACTTGATTCCCTTGACCGGCTTCGGGCGCGGCTGGTCGAGCTCACGGGCACGCGTCTGCCTGACGCCTGTGCCGCGGCGGGATGTGATTCGGAGTATGCGCCTAACCTCCAGCAGGTAGCTCTCGAGAGTATCCACGAAGCGCTTGGTTTGGCGATGCTTGCTCGAAACACAGATTGCGAGACCCTCATCCTTGATGATGTAGCCGATGCCGAACCCGTCGCCGGATGTAGGCCCAAAGCCAAAGTGTCGCAGCGATGGGTTGCCGCAGTTGGAAGTGGACATAATGGTGTTGTTCAGCTTGTCCCAGCCGCTGTCGGCGAAGATATGCGGCATCGAGGCTTGGCCGTTGCCGTTGCGAGAGTTGGTGCTGTCGCCGCGCGCGCGGCCCGTAGACTGCACGTCGACGCCGTTGAGGGAGAGGACCGAATCCCGTCCGGGGCTTCCAACGGCAGAGCCCGAGTCGCGCTCGGAGTAGCCGTCGATTGGGCTGGAGTAGCCATTAGTACTCACGCCACTGAGCTCTTCATCGATGGAACGCTGCCAAGTGCAGAAGAGGGCGTAGAGATGGCGGTCGCAGCCCTGCGCCTTTGCGCACTCCCTCGTGGTGTTCACGTGCCGCTGGCATGCCTTTCGTAGCGCCTCGACCTTTTGCTCGGCCGGATTGTCAGCCCAAAAGGTCTGGACAAAGTCCACTGATGCGTCGGAAACGCTTCGGATCGCTTCGGTCCGCCCGTGGAGGAAGATCTTGGTCATGGCGGGCTCGTATGTGCACTCAACCCGGCCGTACAAACCGTAGTAAGCAGCCTGGAAGGCCATCTGAACGAACGCGTCTGGGGAAAAGCCCATCGACGTCATAAAGTTCTTCCCGTAGTGCTTGAAGTCCAACGTTCTGAACTCATTCTGCTCAATGAGATCTGCGAGTCTCGATTCGGCGAAACGCACAGCTATGCTCAGCTCGGGGCTCAAATCCCACTCGAGCTTGTGGGGGGTTGTGCTGACTTCGCCGAAGCTGTCGGGGTCACGCTTCGCCGGGTCGGGACTCGTTGACGCCCAGAGGGTCGGGGCCTGGCCGTTGATGGTCCTCGCAAAGCGCAGTATCGTGTCCGTGTACACATCGCTGGCAAATCTCAGGACTGTGTGGCCATCCACACCAGTGTGCTCGAAGTTGATTCCAGCACTGCCGTTCTTGCAGACGATGATCTGCAGCTTGTCATACCATCTGTTCGTGCAGGTTCCAACCTGCACACCCTTCTCGACCAGACTGGTGCCACACAGCATGTTGCCGCAGAGAGCGTCAGCGTCGGCTGGCTCGGTATAGTCCAGACACAAAACAAACAGGGCGGAGTCGACTATTCCCAGGCAATCGGCATTGTTGGAGCCCTCCTCCCGTGTCAATACGTCCCTCAGCCCCGACCAGATCTTCCGATTCTCTGTGCTCAAAACACCCAAGGCTCCTTTTGCTGCATCCTGAATCGGAACTTGTGCTGCGTCATCGATGATTGTCTGCAGGTTGATTGAGACGTCCTTCTCAGTCATGATCAGGTCATGGTTGCCGTCCAAAACGTCGAACCAGTAGAATTGGCCGTGGCACATGATGACGATGTGCCTCGAGTCGGGGTCCTGCTCGATCTGGCAGCCATTGTCGGTAGGCACGCGCGCTGTACCGAATAGCCTAGAGTATTGGTACATGCACAGAGGCTGACCCTTGATATTGTCTGGGGGAAGCTCTTCTTTACGAACGGCACGAACGAACTCCAGAGCCGACACCACGAGCGACGCCGCTCGAGTCACCTGGTTGTTCCTCGCCGGAGTTGGGTCATCTTCCAGCAGGAAAAAGGGGTTTAGGTTAAGGACAACCGGGTTGTCAAAGTTGAGGTAAGAATCATACCCTAGACTAGTCAGCACACTCAAGGAAGCCGTCTGTGCTGAGAACTTACAAAATTGTTCGATATAGCTGGACTTGTCTACGGCATAAGCCTTCAGCTTCTCCTGCAGAGCTGGGCCATCATTCTTCAAGAAATCCTGTACGGCCTGCCTAGTGTCGGAGTGCTCCCGTCCAGACTGAAGCGGCTTCAGAGCAGTAAGGTACTTTTCGCAGGTGACCTCTAGTTCTGGGATGGGTAGTTGCTTGAGACTATCTTGCGCGGCAAAGGTGACACCGCCGTCGACGGACTTGTCCTTGTAGACTGCCATAGAGTTGGCGTCCTGGCTGCTCCTCGTCGGCTTTGGTGACTCGATTTGTTTCAGAAGATCAGTGGTATCGGGAACTGAGCGAGGAACCGAAGAGTTGTTTAGGGACTTTTCGAGGGTCTCGCCGAGAGGCCTGGGTCGCGAGAAGATTCTAACTTGAGTGGGCATTTTTGTCAGCGGCGGATGCGTAGCCTCTTTAAGCGTAGAGGGGCGAGACGTTGGTGCTGATATTCAGTCCGCGCAGCGCCGTGCGGTAGAAGTAATGACAGTCTTGGAAGCAGTACGCTGGCATTACACTAGACAATGCTACGACATATGGGTATACTGTGGGTAGACTTGCACGAGGAGAAAGGGAAAGAAGAGTCGGCTCGGTTACGGCGCGGGATGGACCAGGAATATATCAACGGGCCTAAGGAAGTCGGAGGAGAGACCGACGAGGTGCGGCTAGGTAGGTAGGCAGGCAGGCACTAGCATGCCAAGAGCGGCACTCTACCAAAGCAAGATGGAGATGAGATGGGAAAGGCAATAGATGGGATCAAGTGGAACCCCCCACAAACCAGACTGGGATGGGCTGGCGTGCAGTTCCTCCGGGGTCCCGGGGTCTTGTCCTCGAGGCACGTCTTTCACATGTGCAACAGTCTTGGGGCTTGGAAAGGTACCGCAGAACCGGAAGTAGGCGCTTGACTGGGGTGGCGAGAGACAGGAAAACGGGGAGGGGAGCAGGTGGGATGGGGGGAAACTGGGCTCTGCTGGCTGGGTCTGGCCTTGGGTTTGGGGGCTTGTGAAACTTGCTCCGCAGGGCCGACGTGAGATGGTAATTTGGGAGGAGACCAGTTTCGTAAACTGCCGAGACTTTTGTTCTCTGGATAAAGGTATCAGGACAGGGGAGAGGAAGAGAAATGCCACCTACCGGCACGGTGAGCGATTGCGTGCGGCCGCTGGCGATGCCGAGTGGTTCAATCTTGACGGCCAGTGATTGTGGAAATGATTACCACGGTAGAAAACACCTGGTGTAGATAGATGGTTGTGGAGGATCGGAGTGGCTGGAAACAGTCAGCCTCTAGCCTAGACATTATGACTACTCGTCCTTGAACGTGACAAGCACGAGGATGACACGAGGAGACACCGGGAGGGATCGGTCAGGCATCCGTCACTCACCTCTCTGCTTCGGAGTGCAGATGCTATACGGATATTTGCGCACAGTCTTGTTGTCTGCTGGGAGCAATCTCACTGCTGGCTACACACTAGCTGCAAGGGACTGTGTTTGGCCGCGGGAAGAAGAGAAGAATCGGGTTCAACGGGGGCGACGGGGATGCTGGAAAAAGAGTGCCTGGGTCGGCTGCAACGATGGCAACGTTTGACGGCGATACGGAGGCTAGATGGTAGGTCGAAGGTAGCCGTGATGCAATCAATGCGACGGGCGCTTCTGGAAATTCGACGTCAGGCCTCCACCACCCGGCGCAGTGCAGGTGCAGGTAGGCAGGCGGATGCAAGTGCAAGTGCAGGTGCAGGTGCAGATGATTCGGCTCGGCTTGGCTTCGCCGCTTCAGGCTGGTGAACCCCACGGGGTTCTGGACAGGCTAAGAACACTCTCTGCGCAACAGTGCAGGACGTGGGCGTGGACGTGGACGTGACAGGCGCAAGGTTGGAGAGCCTTTCGGGCGAAGGGGAATATCGAAGAACGTGGCAATGGCCGCCTCTGGTTGGACGGACGGATCGACTGCTTTTGATGCCACCACCCGAGAACAGAAAGGCAGGCGACCGGGGTTGTGAGGATTGAGTGGGTTGCGACACTCAAATGCCCTTCCCTCCTGCTTGGCGGCTGACTGACTGACTTCCGGCGCCGAGGGGTGTGCTGGCTGGATGTGAGTGCGTGCTCGTTCTTTGCTCGTGAAGATCCTCCGGGGTCTGCACTAACGTCGGCCGAACAAGACGGATGATAGACTGGCCTCAAATAGACTTCCCCAGCAATCCCGAAGAGTTCCGACGTGTTGGCCTTAATCACGATGAGAGGCTACTATCAAACCTCATCCAGAACCGTGAATTCCAAACGGCGCGGCGTCAGTCGAGAACCAAAAAAAGAGAGAAAAGAGGGGAAGATGAAGATTGTGGGCAATGATTCATTCCCCCGCGGGATGGGCTTATTGGAGAAATCGCAAGGGTCGCAGGGTGGACAGGGGTCACCGCGGCGGGTTGAAAGTGGGAAATGTGGAGGAGGTTGGAACGGGGATAGCTTCCCCTGGTGCGAGGTGACGATGAATGATGGCAGACAGAGAGTCCAAGACCGAATGTGACTTGTAACCCTGTCGGATCCCAGACTGCGGTATTATTGAAGTTGCTGCCCACTTTGACTCGCTGACATGTGCCCAGTTGGCAGCCAAGAAACCACGGCGATCAGGACCAACGGGAAGTCTGTCAAGTCTTGGGTCGCTTTACTCACAACGCTTGGTGCCGACTTGGGGTTTGATTGGTATGCGGGGCCTTTTCGTGTGCTTCTCTCCCGCGAGCCGAACACAACACTGAAGCGACTTGTGTGATTTGAGATTCTGCCGATGCGTTGGCAATAGATAAGGAGTGAGAGGGTGCTGTGCTATATGTGTCGAAGAAGTCTATCATGCGGCAATCAACACAGTAGCTATGCAACGCACTGAGGCGGCGGAAGCCATTGAATCATACCAAGCCTCCTGCGTTGCGATTTTTTTCCATATCCCCGAATGACTGACTTTACTACTGTCCACAGGCGAACGTTGATGGATCGGTGATGCATAACGACTTCTCTTCAGCGGGCTGGACCGCCCCAACCGACGCCAATGCGCTTCTCCGGGCCAAGACCGGACCAAAGACCAGCTCTGAGGTTCTCTGATTGCCGGTGACATTTCCTCCCCGCTCAAGGTGTTCGGATCAAAGGACCAAGACGTGGTGGACGGCACGACGGGAAGGTCGCTAACTGTGAGTTGTGGATAAGGGCCGAAAACGGCTGGCGCCTGCCCCGGGGCACCGCGGCCCAGGCCTTTCCCCCCCCACGGCCTCCTTGTCAGTGGGCTCCAAGCCCGTCCCTACGGGTCGCAACAGCAGTCACCTGCATGCGCCTAACGTGCGCTTAGTGGCTGACCCGTCCCGCTGCCAGCTGACGCTGAGATGGGATCATTTGCAGCCCGTCTGGTTGGTCCGTTTGAGACCGTCCGCCAGACCACCTCGCCGTTTTCTCCCTCCGCCGAGAAATTCCCGGCGTTGCGGAACCTGGGGTGCGGGTGACACAGCATTCCACGTCTTTGTTCCCCGCCATCTTGATTGCATTTGATCCATCTTGCGTCGTCTTAGCTCCTGCTCCGATTCCCGAGTGCAACCCGGTGTCATCGCCACATTGCCCGGGAGGGCAGCGGGAACTCGGCCTTGGATGAGTGGAACTGTCCCGTTCGGCCCCACTAATGATAACCGGCCGGACCGCCGGATCAACCAGGTCATCGTTGTGGACAGTCTCAGCAACCAAAGACATGATTTGAAAGTAGGTTGCATGACATGTTTCAACTATAGAATCCCGAGTAGCATTCGACTTCTAAACCCAGGTTGTCACCCATAGTAAATGCTTCTTGCCATCCAATTGCGTCTCACTTACACCCACAATGTCGCAAATAGTAGAGGGGCTTGTACAAGCAAATACTATAAAGACGAGTGACCAATTACATACGCTATTGATGATGATCTTTAATGAGTGACCTGATTATTCACACATCAAGCCTAATGAAGAGTGCGTCGTCCGATAACTAGCCCACGTTGATTTGATTGCGCCCCGTCTTCCCCGTCGCTCACTTTTTTTTGGTCCTAAGGGCCTGTAGACAAGATTTCATGCCTATTATGAGGCCTAATTTTAGAGACCGCCTATTTTTCCTGTGTCTGCGTAGCTATATTTCCTATGTACTTTATTACTCCTATCTGAGACGATAGGAATAGCGACGAAGACGACGACGAAAATGACGACGAAGACGACGACAAAAACGACGGTAAAGATAACGACGAAGACGACAATAAAGACAACGACAAAGACGACAAGGTAGACGATAATAAAAACGATAATAAAGACGAAGATAACGATAATAGAAGCGATAACAACTATTAAAGCGACAACAAATATTAAAATACAACAATAAAGTAGAATAGCTATAGGAAAAGTAGTCAACATAGCACAGGAAAAATTAGCGGTCTCTAATTTTATGTTTATTCAATCATTAGCTCATTAGCTCACAGGTAATAAAACTAAATGAGCGTTTCAGCTTCAGAAATATCCACAATACTCAGGTTAATCGACATGGCTTGTAGCTGCTATCGTTTACCCTGCATTTCATTTAGTCGACATCAAATTAGAGAGATTAGAGATTGATCACTTTCATCTAATATCTGAACCACTACGTTGTCGTTCGGCTCTGAAGGTATGTATTCTATAAATAGCAAGCAACCATGATCATTCTTATGGAACACTACGGAGCTTCAAGACTTCAGGCCAGCATGGCCCATATAAGTTAATAGAATGTTACTGCTTATCATGTCCACTTTCGGGGAGCCTAAGGTATTCAGACGAATAGGGAAAGTGACAGAGACGACGGGCATTATCAAAGATAGCAAGTGTCAAGATAAAGATCGTGACAGCGACGAGAACTATAACAACATGAACAAGATCGGAAACATCAAAAAGGCTGGAATGACAAGGGTGACTATATGGGTGAAGCAACTGGTACAACTCGCCGCCTACTTATCCAAAACCCTCCACTTGGACAGTAAATTTTTTTTTTTTTTAAAATACCAGGCGTGTCTAGTAGACGTAAGCATAAGCCCAAGTTGGGCATTTACAGAACCAACCCGCAAGCCGCAGACGATTTCCCCACCTTAGCTTAAGGCAAACCGCGAGGCACATTGATGACTTGGCTTCTAGATTGTGCATATCAAGTAAACAAGACGGTCTGGCAGTGACCTCACACTTAAGGTATTCTCGCATAGAATGCGAAGGCTTACGCAAAATATTTTGGAACGCTGGTTGTCGATGTGCACTAACACTATTCACAACAAGTGCTGGGTGAGCCGGTGGCTATGTCTGGCCAGATGGCCAATGGTATTGGTAAGTATTAGGAACGTGGCTCAACAGGCCTCCGCTCGAGATCAGCACGTAATCTGCAAACTATCCGGCTAGTTCTGAGACGGGGCTTGCGACAGTTCATGGAGATCACGAGGAATGCGAAGCCACTGGTGTCGACTTCAGGCACCAAATCCGCCTGCCGGCTTTCACTCGATTTGGAGATGCAGAACAGCAACCCACGTAATCCTGATTATGATCTGTTTTTCAGCAGGAAAAATATCAGCTCGCTTGAGAGCTTTGGATATGTGACTTGGGATGAACAACAGAGTTCCTACATGAGATGACAGGTCTCATCTGCTGAAGTGCTTCCTTTCATACCGGACGTTTCGACCAAAAAGAGACAAAATTCCAGCCGTTGGAATGAAGTGACTCAACCTCAGTTGAATCGCAAAGTCGACATGCGGAAATTCCTTTGGCGTGCCGAGTTCCGAGAAGCGATGCGAAGTGGAAAAGAACTTCGGTGTAAAGAGGCGCAGTGCTACCTGAGCGATTCCCTTTCGGGCATTCGATTCGAGGTCCACGCGCGTGGTTCAGCGAGATAAGATGCAAGGAGAGTCCAAACGGTAGCGTCGTAAAGGCGGAGTTGTATTACCCCATGCGAGAGATGCACGTCAGCCGCATGTCGTCCACGACGACGAAGCTTAGCGGACTGCCTGCCGGGATGATTTGGTGAAGATGCAGTCAAAGGATCGAGGAGATGCGCCCTGAGCCAAGGCGGCAGGACCCTTCGAGCTGCCACCGCTCCACCCTCGCACTCGCTTAATTGCTTAGTTCCTCTTCCAGCGGGGCCATTCCTCTTATCGAGCCTATCTACTGGCTGAAATGCGATAGGGCTGGTCATTCTGGCCCAAGCTCCAAAATGCTTGTCCTCTCCCGGCAACGCCTCGTGGACGGGAAGGGCGACGTACGAATGCGACGAAAGCGACGGAGTCTCCCCATCTGGCACCTTTCACAAGGGCTCGGGCTGTGCTGTTGCGTCTTCCGCATTGCATTCTCTGCCATTCATGGGGCTTGAGCCTGGCTGTCGCTCTCCCCATTGCACATCGCCAGAATCATGGCGGCAACCTATTCCGATAGGCCATGTCGTAGGCCTCCCTGCCTGCTCCCCTCGCTCATTCGACTAGACTGGTCGTCTTACCCGTCCGGTGGCTGATTTCATTAGTGATGGATCTGAGAACCTGGTCTCCGAGTGGATGGTTCTTCATGTAAACTCCCTTACCTTTGGCCCTTCGGGCGTAAGGTATATAGGAGGCGTCCATGTCTCTGATCTTGTTGAATTATGCTCACCAACATCATCCATCTCTTTGTCTAGACTCGAGGCTCTTAGCAACAGCTGCATATAATATAAGCCTTCCGTCCCACTATCAAAGCTTGTTCTGCAACTTCACTCGACTACTCTAGGGCTTTCCTACAGCTCAAAATCTGTCTTGAGACGAGTATCGCCGACATGGTCTTCATCTACTTGGGCAAAAAGGCCTACCGCGCTATCCAGGCCAAGAAGAACGCCAACCAGACAAAGACTGCACATACACTTAACGCCGCTGTAGCTGAGGGGGACATTCCAGAGGATGTCGCCAGCGAGGGCGCCACCGACCAACACATCGGCACTCAGGGCAAGGTGGAACGAACGACGAGCAACTCAACATGCAACCACCAATACGACACGACAGCTGGAGCATGTCCGACTTGCAAGTCTGAAAGCAAGGCACGACTGGTCTACAGAGTCAGGATCTTCGCAGGCCTACTTCTGCCATTCGTGCTGCAAGCTCTGGATGTCACTATTGTTGCGAGTGCGCTTCCTTGGATCGCAGCCGACTTTCGTCCGTCACTTTCCGTCTAGATCCTGCTATAAATGCTCAGCTAACAGATCGGCAGGTGAAACTAGTCAGCTGAACTGGATCATCGCCGCCTTCAACCTCACATCTGCTGCGTTCATTCCCTTCTGGGGCCAAATTGCGGATATTTTTGGGCGTCACACCTCCCTCCAGACCTGCCTGGTCCTGATGCTCATCGGCAGTGCGCTTTGCACCGGGGCCCCCACCTCCGCCTACGCCGTGCTCCTCCTCGGCCGCGCCTTTCAAGGACTCGCCTGCGCTGGACTGAATGTTCTGGTTCGTATCTGCATCGCAGACCGAGTGACGCTGCGTGAGAACGCCAAGAACTGGTCCATCTTCTCCTTCTTCGGTGGTGTCATCGGCTGGGGACTTGGTCCTCTGATCGGAGGCCAAATCACCTCAAAGTCTCACTGGAGATGGTGCTTCGGACTCAATCTGCCCATCGCTTTCGCCAGCATGCTCATCATCTACTTCGTCCTCCGCTCCGAACTTCTTGGGCCTCAACCGATTCCCCAGCTTGACGAGACGACAGAAACGGGCAGACGCACCACCTTTGCGAAGCGTCTTCAAACGATCGATGTCGGCGGCCAGTTTCTCTTCCTGTTCGGCTTCGGTCTGTTGATTCTCGGCCTTTCATGGGCCGGCGCAACGTACGCCTGGGACAGCGCCGCGGTGCTCGTCACCCTCATCCTCGGCTTCATCATCAGCATCTTGTTCATAGTCTACGAGTACCACATGGCTCCCGGCAAGTTTCTCGCTCGTCATTTCCCTTCCCAAAAGGCCATGATTCCGTGGGAGCTAGTCCGCACAAGGGACATTGGCCTCTTATTCTACACATCCTTCGCCACCGGCATGGCAATGTACTCGGTCCTCTACTTCTGCAACATCTACTTTACGATGGTAAAGCTCTGGTCAGCCGACCAGGCCGGCACGCAGCTGCTGTATTTCACGCCTGGATTGGGCGTCGGAGTCTACGTCTCCGCCTTCATGTGCAACTCATGGCCTAGGAAGACGTTCCCTCCAATCTTCCTCGGCTCGATCTTGGAGATGGTCGGTATCGGCTTGATTGCCTGGGCCATCTCCACCGAGCACGACCCGACCGTCTACGGAATGATGGCCCTCACCGGTGTCGGCACCGGTCTCCGTGTCATGCCGGTTCCCCTCCACGGTATCGGTCACTTCCCTAAGAAGATTGCAGCCGTCGTCTCCCTCATGGCCGTTGCCTACCCCTTTGGAGGCACTGTGGGCTTGACGATCTTGACCACGGTATACAACAATGTGTCCGGCATCAGCAACGATTCCCCTCTGAGAGACTTCACCACGTTGAAGAATTTGCCGGCTGCGGAGCAAGCTGCAGTCACCCACGACGCCAAGATGGGTATTGTCTGGGCCTACGTCGCCATCTGCCCCTTTATGATTATCGTGAGTTATATCGTCAGCCAGTCTACCATGCACAACAATCCTAACATGTCTCTCTCTAGTGCACAATTACTGCCTCATTCCTGGGCAACGTCTACATTTCCAGGACCGAGAGTGAGGGGCAAAATGCCATCTACAGAGGGGTGTATCTGCTCAAGCCTTTCCGCAAGGATGCCGATAAAGAGATCACGACCACAGAGCACCATTCGGGTGATGAGCGTATTCCGAAGTAGTTGCATGCGGCGGCTTACAGAGCATAACGTTGGAATGTTTTACGATTTTTCTTTGTCGGGCTACTTGGAATTAGGAGTTACAATACCCGATTGGAAAGTTGCATCCAAACAGCGGAATAGATCAGAATTGGGCATCAGGGTCTGAATTAAGTACCTATCAAATCATGGCCTGGGTTGTTATTCATTTACCAACAGATGTCTTTCAATCGCATCTGTTGCGTATGACGCTCGTTGCCACGTGATGAAGTCTTGATGTGAAATCCATGCCGTAGCACAACACTCCTGATCCGAAGAAGAAAAAAACAAGATCTGGCTGTCACCTCTTGAATGGAACCGACAGCAGGGAATCAGACGGCAATACATCTGGGCGCAGATCCTTATCCCGACGTGATTCGCCAGCAACGACGCCGAGGCGAGGTGGCCAAGTTGGCCCGAACGGGAAAGTGGGCTGTTTGGCTGTCGCAAAGCACCGCTCCGGCCACGCTCTGTACTCACTCCAACATCATCTCATCCGCCACAAAGCGACCTTGCCCCCGTGGTAATCCCAATCATCACTACCATGATTCCAGTTCCAATATCGTAGATTCACAGCGCTCCGGACCGCCCCTTCTCGGCCATATCTTATAACCCGCGCTGCATCTCACACTCCCCGCCCACTTCCCTGCGACTTGACCGCATCTCATCGTCCCGCCATGACATCCCAGATCGAGAACCCCCCGCCCCCCCTCCCGGACGAGGAAGCCCACCTCAAGGCCCTGACGTCCGCCTCCAAGTTCTGGCTCGAGTTCTCCGTCTTCAACGACGGCCTGGACGCCCCGCGCGCGGCGTCCCTCACATCCGCCGGCGCGGGGGCGCACGAGCACTTCCACCGCTTCCCGGACCTGCCCCCGGAGATCCGCCTCAAGATCTGGTCCTACCTCGTCGTCCCCCGCGTCGTGACGGCGTGCTGCTTCGAGCGGGACTCGCGCCTGCCGGCCCGCCGCCAGGCCTTCCTCGACCGCTCCGGCGGCGCCTCGAGGGCCGAGGAGCCGGCAAAGGAGGGCGTCGTCTTCAACCCGACGTGCCCCGTCATCCTCCGCGTCTGCCGGGAGTCGCGCGCCCTGGGGCTGGAGCACTACGAGCTCGCCTTCGGGTGGAAGATCTCGGCGCTGCTCAGCGACACGCCCATCGCGCGGCCGCCGCGGGCGTGGTTCAACTTCCGCCTCGACTCGCTGTACCTCGTCGGCGAGCTGGAGGCGTACGACCAGTACGGCTTCAACTCGCCCATGGTCTACTTCCTCAAGAGGGAAGACACCAAGAGGGTCAAGTACGTCGCGTGCGCCTTTGAGGAGCTGCACTACCCGGAGCAGGAATCCGACCAGATCTTTGGATGCCTGTGGCACGTCGTGGATAGGTTCTCCGGCGCCAGGCGGCTGCTGCTGGCCGTCACGCCGAGGGACGAGGAGGGGATGAAGGGGTGTCTCATGCTCAGCACGGATAACGTGATGCAGAAGATCTGGAACGGCTGGATATTGGGCACGACCGTGACAACGTCCAGTCTGGCAGACACGCAGATTCTACTGGTGAGGGAGTGTGACTTGGCGGACGCCATGGCGTCGCATGCTGAGGAGGATGAGAACAAGAAAGCGAGACGGTAAACTCGCAGCATCTTTTACCTTTTCCTTTTTTTGGGGTCACTTCATTGCATAGTCAGGAGTTTAAGCGTTCTTTAATGGGATTTCTTTTGGTGTTGTACAATAGTTTACATGAATAGAGGAGATGTGGTGGTGATGATGCCGCCCGCGTAATGATGATTGAATGAATTGGTATGTCCCGTTACCCCAATAACGCCCTGTTTTCATTGCGCCGTTTAACCCGTTGCCGAATCTCTCATTTTCACTCATCATGTAGTGCTCTCATTCCTTCTTGGCTCAGCCCTTGCAAGCAGGACTCGGGCTGTCATTTCCCCTCCGCATCCCGCCGAGCAGCCAGTCCGTCAGCCCGACAACCTTGGCCCCCACGCCCTTCTCCCAGTCCCCGCTCTCCTGCACCGTCTCGATGGTATGGCTCAGTATCCTTCCCTCCGAGTCGAACTGGAACACGAACAGCCCCGTGAAGGGTTTGTCGCCATCCTTTTCCGTTGCGGCGCCCCCTGCCGTTGTCGTCGTGGCCGAGCCGTTCTTCCCACCGGCGCACCACCTGACGACGAGCTGCTCCGGCACAGCTCCCGAGCGCAAGGGCGCAAAGGGGAGAGGATGCTTCGTCACGCGCTCGGAGATGATGGACAACCGCACATTGCCGACCAGAGGTAGCCTGTTCCAGGCGATCGGGGCGCTCCAAAGAGCGGCTGTATAGGCTACCCTCCCGGAGACGGTTGGTAGGTGAGGATGCGTCGTCGGAAACAGGTGGAGGGAGATGTTGGGTGCGAGGATCTCCTGGGGGAGGGGTGACTGGAGGACTTTGGGGAGGTGTTCTTGTAGGACGCGCAATGCTGTTTTTACCTCGTATTAGTCTTCTCCTCATTCTTTCGTTACGCAGTATAGTTTGGACGTACTCTTGCCTAGATTGGCATTGTTTTCGTTACCAGGATTCTTCCCCGGCTTCCCGCCGTCGGCTAGCACCGTGTTGGAGGGGTTGAAGTAGCGCTTCGGGAGCTCGCCCTCCTTCGTCCTCTGGCGCGCAAGAACGAATGGAGGGGGAGGCGGGGACGGGGCTGTTGCGGTCGCTGCCACCGCGGCTGCCTCAGCGACGGTAGCAACGGCGGTCGAGGGATGCGTCGGGACGTTCGGCGTGTGCAGCGAAGTGCTCGTGGGGTTTGCGCAGGAGGACCAGAGCTGTGAGGTCAGCGGAGACGCCGCGGCGGCGCGCACGCCTGAAGGTGCCGATGTAAGACGCAAGGCGGCCATGGGACCTGAAAGGCAGTTATCATGAAACAAGACTGATATGCATTGAAGTAGCGAAGCAGCAAAAGAAAGCGATGACAGCGACGCAGCAGGGCAGGCGGAAAGAATGATGTCAGGAAGAATGCGGAGGATGGAACAGGCGGAGATAATTTTGTAGGGGTGGGCAGCAACGCAGGCCAAGCTACTCAAGGTAGCTCTGGAAGGCCCGTGGCCCAGGAAGGTTATCCTTTACCTTAGGTAGCTAGCCGGGGTTGCGGAGAGGGTCCCGCATGCCCGGCTGGACACCCCGCCCCACCTCGACATCGGATCGGAGACGACATCCGACTTCCATGAAGATTCGAGAACGTCACGGTCGCGGGATGTTGTGGGAAATCTTATTCTCATTGTATTGATGTTGCTCATATTCTGTCTATTCTTTTGTGGGACCAACGCTACCAAGTAGGCAAAACTCCGATGACCATGGGCAAATGTGATACACTTCAGGTAATATACACGTCGTGCCTTTTCTCACCTCGGGTGAGGGAACTCGTCCGCAAGCTGCAACCGCACACCGACGTTCATACTGATCAGCTCTTGAACCAGAAGCTTCGCAGCATAAGGCATCGTCATTTGTGTCACCTCCCTGGTGCTCTTGCAGGTGTGGCAGTAACCCTTGTAACCGAACAGGCCGCACTGCTGGCAAATGTCGAGCTGGGTTCCGTCGGAACTAATCATCAGACGTTCCAGAAGCAGCTGAGAAGCACCGTACGCGATCAAACAATCACGCTCCATCTCTCCCAGACGAAGACCACCGTCTCGGGAACGACCTTCTGTAGGCTGGCGAGTGAGGATGGCTCTGGGACCACGCGAACGCGAGTGCATCTTGTCCTGCACCATGTGCTTCAGACGCTGGTAGTAGATGGGACCGTTGAAAATGTAGGCCTCCAGCGGCTCTCCTGTGATACCCGAGGTGAAGTAGTCCTTGCCTTCCCATGAGAAGCCATGATCCACCAATGCAGCACTCATCTGCTCCAAGGGGTGGGAGCGGAAAGCGTCACCAAAACCATAGTCCTTGCGTCCATCCAACACAGACGCCTTGCCCGTCAGGCACTCGAGAAGCTTGCCGACAGTCATTCGAGAGGGGAAACCGTGAGGGTTCATGATAATGTCGGGAACCAGACCTGTGTCGGAGAATGGCAGGTCCTCCTGGTCCACAATGATACCGACGACTCCCTTCTGCCCGTGACGAGACGAGAACTTGTCACCAAGCTCGGGTCGTCTTGTTTGTCGGGTTTGGACCTTGACAACCATCGTCTCTCTTTCGGTGTGAGACACCATGACCTTGTCGATGTACGCAGGGTCAGCTATTCTGTAGGAGATGGACGAGTCGCGGAACTCGCTAGGACCACGATCCATCCCGATGCCGGTCGATCCCGTGTCAAGAGGGGTCTCTTTCTTGATCATGGTCTCACCCGAGTTGATCTTGTAGCCTACAATCGCCAGACCGTCGTCATCGAGAGCCTCGTGCTTCTTTGTGCGACCATTCTCGTCATTGACGGGGTCTCCAATTCGCTCGCGACGTCCATTGGGGTATTTCTGCAACTCGGCGGTGTACTTGCGGAAAACCTGGCAGCGTCCAAAACCACGATCGCAAGACGCCTTGTTCAACACCAACGCGTCCTCAATATCATAGCCAGAGTACGACATGACAATAACAGTCGCATTCTGTCCTGCGGGAAGCTTGTCATAGTTGACCAATTGGATGGTTTTGGAAATGACCATGGGCCTTTGAGGGTAGACCAAGGTGTACAGAAGGGTATCAATGCGGTTGAACTGGTTATATGCAATAGCTCCAATGGCTTGCTTACCCATGGCGCATTGATATGTGTTTCTGGGGGACTGGTTGTGGTGAGGGAAGGGAATAAGACCGGCAACGGCACCGAGAACCGTAAAAGGCTCGATTTCCATATGAGTCGTGGTCATGGTAACGTCTGTTTCGTAGAGAGCAACAAGCGTGTCGTTCTCCTCGTTTACATCGAGATATTCGACAATGCCGTGTGTCAAGAAGTCGTCAAATGTCGCCTTGCCCAGTTGAAGAAGCTTGAGATGCTCTGCCTTCAGCTTGGGCTTACCGTTCTTGACGATAATATACGGCCGGCAAATACGTCCTTCGTCAGTGGCGATGTGAACTGCGTTGAAATGGTTGTTGATGTGGATGCTGACGAAAGGAGAGATCCAGCCTCGCCTCCTCATCGTTCTGAACTTGCCAGCAAATCGCTTCGGGTATCTGGTCAGGGCAAATGGTGTTCCGTTGATGTGGATAACGAAGGACCCTTCGCGATGCATCTCGCCACCGGAAAAGTTTCTGATGGGCTCAACGCCGGCATCCAGCGTAAAGACCCATCGTTTCACGGGTTCCTCCTCGACATTGGTCGTGATATGTGTCATGAGCGCCAAGTTCTTCACCAAACCACAAGCTTCACCTTCTGGTGTATCCGAAGTACACAGCATACCCCATTGAGAGGGCTGAAGTGCACGGGGACCAGAAACTTTGCGGGTCTTTTCAAACTGACTGCTGATACGAGTCATCATACCAAGTGCGCTGATGTAGCTGAGACGACTGAGTACGTGGGTGACTCCAGCCCGGTTCATGTTGAAACGCTTGACAGTCCAGTTGCCCGTTTGGATAGCGCGGTTGATGCCCTGCCCAATCATGTTGGCATGGTTGCTAATCATGTTGACGGCGTCAAGCGGAACAGCTCGATTGTCCTTCTTGAGGACCTTGTCGATGCTGCTCTTGACGTTTCCGCAGAATTGCTTGAACAAATCTTCAAACAGCAGAGATAGCAGTTGACCAGCCAACTCAAGTCGCTTGTTTCCAACGAAGTCTCGGTCGTCAACGAGGCTGAGGTTGCTCTGCGCCATGAGAACACGTCGCGTCATGAATGCGACGTACACTGCCTTGGGGTAGAAGTCCAGCCCCTCGATGGGAACGTGGGCGATGATGAGGTTCGCCAGAGCGTCGAGAGCCTCTTCGACGTGGTTACGTCGGACTTGCGCAGAGAATGGCACTCTGCTCTTGCCCATCTTCACCCTCGCGCCGATGTACTCGAGAGCTTGCTGCTGAGTGTAGACCCCAACCTTGGTCGCCTCTTCAAACTGTACAAGAAATTCGTCTTGATACTTGCCATTGTCTCCGGCGACGAGCTGCATAATCTCATAGTCGGAGAGACCTCCTAAAGCCTTCAGGATGATGACGATTGGGATACCTTCTACCAAAATGTTGGCAGTCAGAAGGATGCGGTCCTTCTTCAGCGTGACGTACGTCTTAGATTTGCGCTCGTGAGTAGAACTGGTGACGGAGGCGGTGATGATGTTGTTCTTCTCGTCGGCTTCGACGATGACTCTGTTCTTGCTGAGCTGCTCCTGAATAAGAATGACCTTCTCCGTTCCATTGATAATGAAGTAGCCACCGGGATCAAGAGGGCATTCGTTCATGCGAGACATCTCTGCGTTGGTAGCACCGCCGAGTCGGCATATGGAACTCTTCAACATGACAGGCAAGCGGCCTAGGGGAACGTTCTTGCGCACAATCTTGGACTTGTCGCGAATGTAGGCGATGTCAACCATGATAGGAGCGGCGTATGTCATGTCGCGCAGGCGACATTCCATTGGTGTGACCTCATTCTGTGCTCTGATGTCGTTGAAGTCGACACGACTGGGCTTCTCAACCCTGATATCAGTGAACCTAAGAAATTGGTCAGCGCAGTCCACGGTGTGAAGTTGAGATGAGGGCGGTGTTGGTGTTGACGGTACATACTCAAGCCAGAAGGAGCTGTTAACATCGCTGCGAATGATGCGGTTGGCACGAACAATCTCCTTAATCTCGTTTTCGACAAAGAAGTTGTACGAGTCAATGTGCTGCTTGACGAGACCCTTGACCTTGAGGAAGGCGGGCAGAAGCTGGAATTTGTCTTCCTTGGTGGAGATGGGATCTGTGAGCTTCTTTCCGTTGTAGAACGGCTCAAGTAGAGCCTCGAAGCCGTCGTCTTGCATGTTGAATGTCACCGTCGACTGCACGTAAACATCATGTGTGGGCGACGTTGATATCGCGTTGTATGACTACCGCAGAAGAATTTTGAGGCGTCGAGAGCTCGAGTCACCTTGGTGAGAATTCGAGGAAGGTGGCGGGCAGCAGCAAAAAAGTTTGGCCCCGCGATACCGGGTGCTGCCAGCTGCCCCATCAGATGGGACGGGACCGCGACGGCAAGACGCGCCACAGACATCAATGCTGCTGACTGTGCGAGTGAGTCTTTGTGTTCTTATCGCGAATCGCGTCACGTGCCGATAACAGAGCAGGAGACCCACTCTTCCACCTCAGCACGTTCCTCACCGAGGTGAGCCATGAGCCCAGCTGGGAAAGAGGCTGCATGAAATGGCCGTGGCACCACCGTTGGAGCGCTTGAATTTACTTTTCAGCCTAAGGTTATCAATCTGTTCATCCCAACCTCTTGGACTGGTTCCTGGACTAGCCGGGGCACAGTTGACTCAGGCACGCTGCACCGAGAAAGTTGATTAATACTGTCAAAACATATCATGGAAGGTTCCATAGTGGTATGATACTCCAGGGAATGGTCGTTGAGAAATTGCCAGGTCATCTGTCAATCGCTTCACCGGTGGGTTCAGTTGCTCCGGTCCTCAAGTCTGGGTCGAGCCGTGACAGCAATGGTCATCCAGGAGGTAAACGGCAGAGAGGACTTTGGGGGTCCCGCTCCATACTGTGTGCATCGTGCATCCATCGTGCATCGCAGTAGAGCAGGCTCGGAATGACCAACATGGCGCACGTCTTATTAATTGACTGACAAAGTGGATATCCGCGAACGCGCGACTTTGCATGCCTCCCTCATTACCTAGTCCCAATGAAGATTCTGCCAGATCTAGAAGTAATCCGTTTCACGCAAGCACTCAAACACTTGTTGATAAAGGGTAAGGCATTTTGACAAGGTCTCTTGCCTCAAGCGGTT